AGTGAAGACGCACTTTACACAGATGCCGTAATGTTTGATAAACATTATAAATTCACTGCGGTTTACTTTTTTAAATAAATGACAAGCACTTCAAGCCTCATTGTGATAACCAGTATTCTCCTTTTTTCAATGTGACAGTGTTGTCAGGTGTCGGTGCCGTTGTTGTGAGAATCCCTAAGAGTGTATATGAGTTTGCCAGGGGGGACAACATCACAATACCCTGCACCTTTGTACCAAAAGGCCCCCCTAAATACGTTGTCATTTCATGGTCTGTTGAAGCTGCAGTAGTTGGTGCTAAAGAGGTAAGATACTACAATGTGTTTATGTGTGTGCATTAGTATATTTCTTTATTATCTGATAACAAGAGTTTTTCCCCCTATTTTACTGTTCCTCTGATGCTCTTGTTTTCTTGAAGATCAACATCGTCACCTATTATTCTGTTGATAAAACCACTGACATAAAAGCACTGTATGAGGGTCGGTTGTCCCTGGATGTCGATGTTCCCGCGGGGAAGGCCAACCTGAAACTCTTCAACATCAAACTAGAAGACAACAAGTTGTTTGAGTGTCGTCTTCTGATCCCCTCAGATGATGAGGGCACCCCAGCCGCCTTTACACGTTTGGTGGTTCTAGGTAACATTTTATTTGTTTAAAAATAATTATTCTGCATTTAAGGGTTTCAAAGTAGGTGCAAGGACTAGCATCTTGCATGTTGGATTTGGCATACCATTCAGTATAATATCAGGTGTCATACTATAACTTTGAAAGATGTTTAAGTTCAGTCAGTATTGCTCTTTGCATTTAAATGTTCTCTAATCCATTGCAAAATGGCCTGCAAATAATGAAAAGTGTAAATCAACATGTGAAAGTAGATCCTCAAAAGTTCTCTTCCTGTTTTAACCATTTTGCCACCTGTGTTACTAAAAGCTACTTTGTTGCCAGGTGGAAGCGATATGTTTCAACAATCATTCTCCACATTAACGGCCTAAATAGAACAAAAAGTGTATAATGTTGTATTCTCTAATAATATATTCTTCTCAGATTCCGCAATCTATATTTCGTCTGAAGACATATTTTCACGGACAAATTACACTTCTTTTTTTTCTTCTAGTGGCTCCATCTACTCCCATCTGCAAGATGCAGGGTAAGGCAGAGTACGGCAAGAACGTCAACCTGACCTGCCTGTCTGAGGAAGGTTCCCCTGCACCCACCTATACATGGCAAAGTCAAGATGTCAGGAACATGCCTCGTGTTCGTGACCCCAGAACCACAGATAGTAAGTATCATTGTCTGTCTGGCCTATCAACACTTTATATTTACTATTAATATTTATTTAATCCTCTTGTATCTCAACAGGGCCTTCCTGGCCCTATATATGAGATCTCTTCTTCGAAGGAGTCCTGGTCAAAATGACAGCACTAGTAGTTTACCTTGTCAAAGCACATACAATGCATGGAAACAATGCAAGGGAAAGAGTAAAACATGTGATTCACATAGTCAAAGATAAAGTCAACCCTCAGTATACTTCTGCAAATGTATGGTCTGTGGTGTCAGCATCACTTGTAGCCGATACGTCCCTGCATCTCTAATGTGGAATCTGACCAATAATAATGCAAGTTTAGATATTTAAACATTTTAAATAATCAAATACATGCTTTCATAAAAAAAAATAATACAAAATAAATATTTAAATTTCTTAGTTTTGAAAAAAAATGATTGAGCTTCTTTTTCTTTAAAGGTAAATAAAAGTATTGTGAAGAATATGTAGTAAATTAAAACATAAAATCATTATGGCAGTGATGTGCATATGTGACCGTCTCTTTGTCTTTCAGAGGGAGGCATACTGTCTCTGTATAATATCTCCAAAGATACATCTGGATACTACGTCTGCACCTCAAGAAACAAAATCCGCTCTGCTACCTGCAACATCACCCTCACAGTCATGCCACGTGAGAAAAACTTTCTAATAGCAGCTTTTTATACGAAAATTGTTGTGAGAAGAGAACTGAGTATTCCCAATAAAAACATCCTTGTTCTTGTTCTTCCACTCATACAGCTTCCATGAACATTGGGTCCACTGCAGGAATCATTGGTGGAGTGGTTGCCCTGTTGATAGTACTCATCATCGTCATCTATTTCTGCTGCTGCAGGAAGAAGAAGAAGGAGGAGGAATACGCAATGGGGTAAATATGTTCTCCCTTACACTGACTGAACAAGATGCTGTTTTATGATAACCGAAAAAATCAGACAGCCTTCGGTCAACCGAGAAACATACTCGCTGAAACATATTTAAAAAAAGAATATTATAACAGCAGACTACATGTTTGTACCAAAACACTTCCAAAACTGCTTATTACCAACAGACCTTTATGAAAAGGAAGCTGCAAGTCAATGTTTCACATAAATAAGCTTCAGAAACTTGTTCTGATATACACAGCCATATTCGCTCCATTTGGACAAATGTTCAAGTATTTTTATGTCATGTTTATTCCTGTATCTCTATCTCTAGTCTTGCCAAATTTGGCTAATAGATAATTTGGATCAGATAACAGGTGCTGTTGGCCTAGGCAGTTGACAATGGTGCTTATGTGAAAGGTTCAAGCTTTTTTTAATATTAAGTTTTTGTTTTGTTTTGGCAAGGCTACATTAAATATTTCAAGAACCAACCCGACTCAGCTAAGCTGGTTTCAAGGCAGCTAGTCTTTGGTGAAATCTATTTTCCAGGAGAACATTGCCAAAGAAAAAATAACAATAGCTGACTGTTATGTGTTCCCTTTCCAGAGTTCGTGAGGAAGAGTACAGTGACAAAGAGCTAGCTAGGAATGGTGATGGTCGCCGTCCTGATGGGCACGAGGACCCCCAAGGTTATGATGACTCCAGCGTGAGGAGGAGCCCTGTTGAGCGCAACGAACGCAACGAGGAACGGAGTGAGCGCGACTACGATCGCCGCAAGGATAATGAGGATGGGCGCAGCGATTACAACGACCGTCGCAGCGACTATGACGATCGGCGCAGCGACTATGACGATCGGCGCAGCGACTACGATGATCGACGCAGTGACTATGATGACCGGCGTGACAAGCCGAGTGACCGCAATGAGCGTTACGACGACGACCCCCGCTATGATGACCGAAAAGACCGTCGTTCTGATGTTGATGACCGCTATGATGACCGAAGAGACCGTCGTTCTGATGTTGATGACCGCCATGATGAGCCCTATGATGATCGTGACAAACCATCGGTGCCAGCCAATAAGCCAACTAGGAGGCAAAATGACTAGTAAAGCATCCAACCTGTATCAACTGCAATCTTCCAACTTCTGGTTTATCTCCTTGGGCTTTACTCCAATGGCAGCCAGTAATCTCACACTCAAGGTGTGACCTGATTGGCTAAAACGCCATAACTATACTAGAATTTAGTGGAATCATAATCTGTCCTTTTTAGGGTGAAGTTGTTATTGGGAGGATCATTTGAAGAAGAGCAGAAAGCAAAATGGTGGCCACAAAGCCTATCTGATCCATTTTAAACAGAGAGTGGGCGGGGTCAGCCTATAGGGCATGATCTATATATTATTTTTTCTTTACCAAAACACATGTCATACAAATATTAGCAACCAGTCAAAGATTTCAGAGATCCCCCAGAAAAAGGTTTTTCTAATCAAGAAATTAGCTGGTATTTTATCTTTAAACTCAACACCATTGCATTGTTGCATAACAACATGCTGAAGCAAGGCCTTGTTATGTGTCTGCTTATGTGTGGTTTCTGCTGTTGGGTGTAACTGGTGGTGGTTTTTCTTTTCTTTTTTTTGGAACCTACCTCCACACAAAAGACTTCAATTTTTCTCACACTTCATTGAATGATGTGTTTATTTCAGTTAGACACTGTCAAAACTTGTATAGTATACTGAGCCTTTTAAATGTCCTCCTATGTGGTGTGTCTAATTTTTCAAACCATGACATTAGAAACTAGAACTAGAACTTCTTCTTTTTCTTCTTCTTTTTAAATCACAAATTAAATTAGCATTATTTAATACAGATTTTTCTATAATTGAACATGTGCAGTATAAAACATCCTTTACCATGCCACCTTCAAAGTTGTTGTTCTTATGTCGATTTTGTTTTTTAACAGGTTCCTATTAAATGAACAATGGCAAATGTACATTATAAATACTATTTTATCTCAACAATGGTTATCTGTTTAATATTTGGATTTATGTTGTGAACATTGTGTGATGCATTCCATTCCTGAATTATGCTGTAAAAATTAAGCTGAAATAAATAAATTAAAAAACAACTTTTTTCTACCATGAAACTTGAACACTAGATGGCAACAGTACACCAAACAATGTACGGCAATCCTCTGATCACATGATGTAATTGATGGCAGGTGAAAACTAAAATATATTTAGTAGTAGGCCTAGTGCCGGTTTAAGTATTATGTATTTATGTAATGTAGTGGATTCATTAACGTCCTAACTTCTTTTATTACCCTCACTCCATCACTGCCACTCAATTGTCTGGAAAGAGCGTCTGCGGCGTCAAGTTACAGGGCGAGGCAGGCAACTATTGCCGGGATCATTTGGTCTTCAAAATAAAACGATACAAGTTAACCTCAATAACATACAAGCAAGCAGCTGGATATTATTTTCATTGATGCCTAAAGTCTATTGACATAACGCACCTCATCTTTCAAACGATGCTAACACGTGTTTGGCTAAGACTCGTCTCTTGGCTATGTTATTATTTTTAATATTTGGCATGTTGTTCCAATATTGGATGGGGATTGGTGGTACTGTGTAAAATGTCGCTGGGTAACATAAACTACACTGTTTTCTAGCAACTGAACTTGACAAAATATGTAGGCCTACTCACTCATTAACATTAACTGCCACAACGGAGCTTTTATTGTGGAAACAGTGACCGGAAGTCATGTGTTTTTATTTCACCAAGCTTCACGCTGGTCCCGTTATGTGCCAGTGACCGTTAGTTTGTAACTGTGTGTGTGAGCCAGAACCAGAAGTATCGCCCGGGGATGAGAAGAAAGAGAAAAGAGGACGACGTTCTTCAGAAGACTGTTATAATATCCACCTGCAGGATTTGGAAAATGATTTTGGTGCCGAAGTGCTGGATTTTTATCGTTTGTCTGACAGGTAAGGACAGAGCAGACGATGGTATCCACTAAAGTGGTGTAACAGGTTGTTTAATAACTTTGTGCTCCCCATTGTACACTTTATACGCGTTATTCTTCCTGAGCACACTACTAACCTCTCCCAAAACGATAGTGTTTACACAGGAAATATTATAAAGTGAAGTTATAGTTGCTAAATTGACGGTATGTTAGTAACGTTAGTGCTGCAGCAGACTCAGTCATGTGTGAAGGAATGATCCAAAGCTTTTAGTCCGGGAGCCAAAGCCTGATTTTTGGATGAACCTTGTTTCGTCTGATAAAGTTTGTTTTTCTGCTGTTTCTTGTAGCTTGGGGGTACCTCTTCAAAATCCAAGAGGGTGCCCGGTGCTATCCCTTGAGCATTTTTGGATATTAACCCCTTCACGGCCAAAACGCCAAAATCCCAGAAAAATAAGGATTTATGAGATTTCATGCAAAATACTTAAATCAAATGCACCCAATTTAATTTCTCCAATGTGTATTCAATAGGAGTACAGGAGGGTGCCCACTGATAACCTTTTAGCATTTTCAGATATTAACCCCTTCATGCCCAACACGCCTAAATCCCAGAAAAATAAGGATTTATGAAATTGCAATAATATTGAAATATATTCAAATCAAATGCATCACATTTGCCTTCCTCAATGTTTATATTCATACAGTGCATTGTATTATAAATTAATTAATATTAACCCTTTTAAGCTGACCCAGCAAAACATACTTTTGAAGTGCAGTGAATTCTGCAAAGACAATGCAAACAACTTCTCTCTTTTGCTCATGCAACTGCGTGGCGTTTATTACCAACAACAAAAAGGAAAGGTAAGCAGATTGTTGGAAAAAACGTTGCTCATTAGTATATATAAATGACACATTACTGTTAGGATCTTGAGCATCCCACCCTGAAACATGCACAGAACATTGTGCATGGCAAACCATGCACTTTACAACTGCACTTCTTGGAATTGCAAGGGGTCTCACTCTTGCAGCCACACCTTATCATCTCCAAAATATAATCTGGGACACGTTTGGCATCTTCTGGTAGATGGATTGGGATCAGTGACCTGTTACACGTATCTTTTTTCCATCCAAATTCCTATGGGTTCAGTGCTGGCAGCAGGTTTACATTGAGATTTCGCCACAACATTGCCTGAAAGTGGGCCTTCTTGACATTCTCAATGAAGGCTTCATTTTTTGGTGGTAGAGCAGCAAGGTTTGGAGCACCAACTTGTGTTTGTTTGTGCCCCGTAGATGGACAAGCCTGTCTTCAGTCAGTTCCTTAAATATGAATCGGTTGAGCTGTTTCTTGTTTTCAATTGATGATGTTATAGCGGAATGTTTAATACAGCGTATTTCTGATATTCATTAAAGATCACATGGTATTCCATATGATGTGTGTTACTGAGTTGGGTCACACACAGTTAGAGAGGCAATGGTCGTTCTGAATTATCAATAGATGTATTCATTTTAAGTGAGCTGACACCGAGGGTAGAGGAAGTTCAGAGAAGGCCTCAGGTTATAAAAACAGTTAACCTTTGTTAGTTAAATAATCCTATGGATGTCATGAGACAATGACGTTTAAACATATACAAGTATAGCTTTCAGAGATATAAACATGTGACATTTGTGTGGTAGGCTGCATGATAAAATGCGTGTGCGTTAAAAATGCTTAGGGAGAATGTACTGTATGTATGCTGTATGATTGTTGCTACTATTGGGGGGAATTTCCGCGATTGGCTGCTGTGGCAGCAGGTGATGTACTTCCCATTATTGTTTGTTTGTTGCAACAACTAAATAATAATTGCTGATCAGCTATATCTGTGTTTGTGTTTTATTGATTCCTCTCTGTTTCATTCTTTCCTGTTGTGTTGTGCTGGATCGCCACAACAATGACAAGACAACCTTCTGGGCTGGTGGCTTAGTTGATAGTAGGAGATGATGTTTCCTATTGACCACTGTCTCCCTGACTTCTCTGGTGACAGACTTGATACTGTAATCATAGTATCTGTCAAAGATGAGGTAGACGTCACTCTCTGACAGGTATTAAATCAGCCGTGTTTTAATATTATCAATAAAATCAGCGACAGTACCATCAGCTGGCCAGTGTATGGTCCAAAGAAGTGCTGATCCATCAATGACAGTGACTGCATCACCGGCATTCCGGACTTCAACCTGGAGTGACTTCTTCAGTGTGGACTTGGCTTTACAAATTCTCATTCCATCCTCTGTGAACATGGCAGTTGGGATTGGTGCCAGCTCATAGGCAAGGACATCCTTCACGTCAACATCGCGGTCACTAGAGAACAGTGCAATGGTCCTTGAATAGATCACATTTAGGTCATACATTTTGGAGTCGCCAATTGTGATGGATTTGGTTGTTGTTGCCATGGTCTTCACTTTGCTTGAGATGGTGTTGTGAAATCCCTCTGGCCAGGTCTTTTCAAATTGTTCTAACATTGCCTCTCCAATCTTTACAGCACTGTCTACACTGGCAGTTGGAGGGACTGTCTTGCCACTGGTGATGTTCACAATGCTCTCTCCTGGATGTGTGTTGGGATCCAATGGATGGAGGCAAGTGTCTAGTTTCTGATGAAGTCCATCCCTGTCCTTATTGTCTGCTCTAACCCTGGCTTTAGCCTCCTCCTTGTGATAGAGATGTACTTTTGTTGTATTTGTCTCCTCCTCTTCCATGTCCTTCATGTCTGATTCAATCTTGCAGCAGATGTGGCGGCTCAGGGCCCAGATCTTCAGTGCTTCTGGCTGCAAGGTTA